TGCTGGCTATTTTTTATTGCAGTTGTCTTTGTTTAGCTGGCCTGGGCTGGCTAACAAATGGCCTTGGTGAATGTGGCTGGAGCCGTAACCACTGTGCTAGGGTGATGAGCCTATTCTTTTTCACCTTGCAGTTGCACCAGCCTCTTCCCTGGGCTCCCTGCTGCCAACTTGTAGAATTCAGACCACAATACCCTTGCTCTAAAATTTCTCTTGGGGCTTGGCGTCAGCCACATACACCAGAGCTGGCAAGTTTGAATCCAGCCCGGGTCTGTCAAACAACAATGACAACTGCAACCAAAAATGGCTAGGTAGTAGCGGGTGCCAGTAGTCCCAGCTACTTGAGAGGCTGAGGCAAGAGAATCACTTAAGCCCAGGAGCTGGAGGTTGCTGTGAGCTGTGATGTCACAGTACTTGACCCAGGGCAACAGCTTGAGGCTCTGTCTCAAAAAAAAAAAAACTTCTCTTGGCTTCTCTCTCATTCCACCAAAGTCAAATCCTTATGACGGCCTATAATGCTCTATGTCAGCAGTTTTCAACCTGTGGGTCGCAACCCCTTAGGACCATATTAAAGGTTCGTGGCATTAGGAAGGTTGAGAACCACTGCTCTATGTCATTTAGCCCCCAGCTCCTCCACAGCATTCCTTCCTTTTACCTCCTACCATTCTCCCTTTTGCTGTTTCTTCTACCAACGACATTGACCTTGCTCATCCTTGAAAATGTCATGTGCACTCTATCCCGAGTCCACTTCATCTGCTTGAAACTCTCTTTTCTATAGGTATACCATTCATGACCTCATTTCCTCCAGGTCGTGGTTCAAATATAAAAAAAATTAGTCTTAGGGGTGGCACCTGTGGCTCAAGGAGTAGGGTGCCAGCCCCATATGCCAGAGGTGGTGGGTTCAAACCCAGCCCTGGCCAAAAAAATTAGTCTTAGGTAAAAACCTTTGCTGGAGCTAAGGACATACCACTCTCAAATATGACTAGAGGAGACCAGAATATGCCACATCAAAAATATACTTCTTTGGGGCGGTGCCTATGGCTCAGTGGGTAGGGTGCCGGCCCCATATACCGAGGGTGGTGGGTTTAAACCCGGCCCTGGCCAAACTGCAACAAAAAACAGCCAGGCATTATGGCAGGCGTCTGTAGTCCCAGCTACTCGGGAGGCTGAGGCAAGAGAACTGCCTAAGCAATTAGAGGTTGCTATGAGCTATGTGATGCCACAGCACTCTACTGAGGGCAACAGAGTGAGACACTATCTCTACAAAAAGAAAAAAAAATACACTTCTTTGCCATATTTTGAGCTGGTTATTCTGAGAAACTATAGACACAAGAATATCTCTGAAAACCTGTCCCTTTGTAAAAGATATTTACACCTATAAAGGAAATCTAGGTTAGTAAAAGTATGTATTTCAGGAAGTAGCTACTCTAGACAAATTTTAATGCCTAAGACTTTTTATCTGCATAATAATATGTTTACTCACCTGCCCATAACTTGTGAGGCCACCAACCTCTAGAAGCCCCAAGCCCCTATTCCTTTTTGTAGCTTAGAATACTATATAACCTTCAATCATCTAACCCTTCCTGAGATTCCCATTTTGTGGGACTAGTTTTTGTCCTGTTAGTTTGTCTTATGTCAGCTTCATTGGTAGCCCAGTCAAAGAGCCTAGAAGGGCAGAGGGAAACCATTTTTGGCTCCCCTACATCTTCTTTGATCACTCTTTTAAAGCTGCAGCCCCACCCTCCCTTGTTAGGCAAGCTCTATGCCCCAACCTGTTTTATTTTCTTCATTGCACATGCCATCACCTGACACATACCTGTAATTATATATTTATTGTCTGTTGTTTCCCAATAGAATGTGAGCTCCATGAGGACAAAAATTTAGTTTTGTTTACTGCTGTACTCTTAGTACAGCCTGGTACAATAAATATTGTTTCAATCAATGAATGAATAATTAGGTAAAGGGCCACTCCCATTATTGTTATTCTGGTTTGATAAGGTCAGTTTCTTCAGAAATTTTGTGGGTATTTCTCATTAGTTATCTGCTGTGCTCCAGACCTCTGCTCAGTGTGAGGAAACAAGCACAGACAAGGTGTGCACTCCACCCACAGGAGCTCCCCAAACTGGGAGAGGATAAATCTGTTAGAAATATCTATGAATGAATGTACATTTAACAAATAAATATATTAATTTTAAATTAGTTAAAAAAAAAAAAAAAGAAATATCTTCTCTGGGCTTGGTGCCTGTAGCTCAGTGGCTAGGGCACCAGCCACATACACCGGAGCTGGTGGGTTCGAAGATTTGAATCCAGCCTGGGGCAACTACAACCAAAAAATAGCCGGGCGTTGTGGCAGGCGCCTGTAGTTCCAGCTACTTGGAAGGCTGAGGCAAGAGAATCACTTAAGCCCAAGTATAAGGTTGCTGTGAGCTGTGACGCCATAGTACTCTACTGAGGGCAACATAGTGAGACTCTTGTCTCCAAAAAAAACCAACAACAACAACAACAACAACAAAACTTCTCTGCACTAATTTAAGCTCTACCAACTGTCAACTTCTTTTTATTTATCTAAGTTTTGCCAGGTACCATACCAACAAAAAAGGCTCAGTCTCTCTTCCTTCAGATATTTGAAGCTGGTGATCACATTCTCCTGGGTCTTCTCTTCCCCAGGCTAAACAAAAAAGCCCAGTGGGACTGTCTGACTTGGGTCTGCCAACTGGGAATAGGGAAGACAGTTAGCTGGAGGGACAAAAGAGGAAAGGATCCAGGAGCAGAGAAACTCCTTCAAAGAAAATAGAGGAAATCCTTAGGGAGGACACCATGGAATGAGGTTGAAAGTGGGGGCAGGGGTCCTACTTAATTAGGGTAGATTATGTTTCTGTAGAACAGCAGTGCATTGGGAATTACCCCTGTACCCATGCACACAAAACCCAGACATAACTGCTGAAATCAAATCAATCCAAATCAACTGCCAAATGATGGTACTGGAGAAGCCAGGGAGGCCAGGCACAGAGGACACTCCAGCCCACTGGCCTCTGCTGAAGCTAAGTATTGCTATTTCATGCACCGCAAATAAATCTGGTGACCACCCACATGAAACTCAAGAAAACCATCCAGGTTTCACTGGGGTCTTCTGAAAAAATACCCCGGTAATTTTCAACTAGATACTAAGGAGCTACGTGGGGTTACTAGGGAAATTATTCCTACGAAATCTGGAAAACCCTGTGATGGTATCAAAGTTTTAAGAGCAACCTAAAATGTACACCCAGAAGAAGTAGGTGTTCCAAGGGGGAGCCCCTGAGACTCTGCTACCTCATTTGGGTCCTGAATGAGATTACTAAAAATTTCCACATTTGGGGTTTCTAACGGGGTTTCCCCAAGAAAACCACATAACTGCCAACATCTGTAAAGGGAGCTGAGGTGTTTCAACTAAGCATATACCCAGGCTAAAGAAGCCAGAATAGGTAAGAGACCTACAGAAGCCATGCAGCCTGAGAAAGGCCAATTTATAGGATTTGTGTGTGTGTTTAAGAGATAAAGTCTTGATGTGTTGTCCAGACTGGTTTCAAACTCCTGGCCTCAGATGATCTTGCTTTGGCCTCTCCCAAATGCTGGCATTACAGGCAGGAGCTATTGTGCCCAGCAAAATTATGTTTTTATATTTTTTCCCACATATAGCATTCATTGCTTTCAACAATGATGTTTCCTTCCATTAGGCTAAAGGGTTTCTTCAGGGACAATTATCCCAAAGTGGCCTGGCCCATCAGAAACACTTCTGTCCCTTCTGGGAAGGTCACACATACAATATTCTAGGTGACTACTTCAGGACTAGCTTTGATTCTTAAGGACTCCAGGGGTCAAAGTCAGTTCCCTGAGGGAAGCCCATTCATTAAAAGAAGTGCTTTCACCCTACAATTAAGGTAGGGGAAGGGCTTTTGTTCTAGATCTTCTATTAGTCAAGCTATGGCAGCTAGCTATCATTATTCCATTTTATAGGTGGGGGAGACAGATGGACAAGAGAGAAATGAACAGGATCAGCATTTCATCAGGTGATTCAAGGATGGCTAAGAGTCTGCAATTCCAGTCCCTGAAACATCAACTCATGATTAAGTAGAAATAGAGCCTGAGAGGGTTTTAACAATGAAAAAACTAACAAGAAGCCTATGCTGGACAAAACTTTGAGACCTGGCTCAAGTGTCCATAGCTCAGTGATTCAGGCACTGGCCACACACACCGAAGCTAGTGGGTCTGAAACTGGCCCAAGCCTGCTAAACAATGAGAACTGCAACAAAAAGAAATAGCCAGGCATTGTGGTGGGCACCTGAAGGTTATGAGGTGGTACTGCAGTAACCCGGTTACTTGAAAGGCTGAGACAAGAGAATCGCTTAAGCCCAAGAGTTTGAGGTTGCTGTGAGCTGTGACATGACAAAACTCTACTGAGGGTGACATAGTGAGACTTTGTCTCAAAAAAGAAAAAATAAAAAGGGCAGCGCCCGTAACTTAGTGGGCAGGGCCCCGGCTACATACACCAAGGGTGGCAGGTTCTAGTCTGGCCTGGGCCTGCTAAACAACAATGACAACAACAGCAACAAAAAACAAATAGCTGGATGTTGTGGCAGGCACCTGTAGTCCCAGCTACTTGGGTGAAGCAAGAGAATCACTTAAGCCCAAGAGTTTGAGGTTGCTGTGAGTTGTGATGCTACGGCACTCTACCGAGGGCAACATAGTGAGACTGTCTCAAAAAACAAACAAAAAAAACCCCAAAAGTTTGAGACTAGGCGATGCCTGTGGCTCAGTGAGTAGGGCACCGGCCCCATACCCGAGAGTGGCAGGTTCAAACCCAGCCCCGGCCAAACTGCAACCAAAAAATAGCCCCGCGTTGCAGTGGGCGCCTGTAGTCCCCTCTACTTGGGAGACTGAGGCAAGAGAATCACCTAAACCCAGGAGTTGGAGGCTGCTGTGAGCTGTGTGACACCACAGCACTCTATGGAGGGCGATAAAGTGAGACTGTCTCTACAAAAAAAAAACCCCAAAAACAACTTTTTGAGACCTCCTTGACTCCTGCCATGTCTGAGTTTTACCAGCACCATGATCCAAAGCTACCTACGTGCTTTTGGGAATCTGCTACTCCTGACAAAGGCACTATCCTTCCTATAGCTACCTGAACAATGCCAGAATCACAGTCCAGAGTGAGCATCTTCATAGACACATTCTGCTTGGGCCAACAGCATCTCTGGCTTCCTGTGTCAGCCTATCTCGGTCACTATATTATTCTCTAGACAACCTGATACAAATGGAAAGTGGCTGTAGAGTTAGGTTAATTTCAGTCTAAATTCTCATTCAGACTTAACTGGTGGAGGGATACCCACGGCCAGTCACTTGACCACTAGAAGCTTTATGTTAAACTGGGAATAAACTCACCCATTTTGGAAGGTGATCACAGCATGTGATTTCTACTAGGGAAAGTGCCATGTCTGGCTTATGCCCAGCACCTAGAACATTGCCTACCTCACAGTATATGCTCAGTAAATACTGGCTGCATAAGTAAAGGACCTAACAATTCCTACTACATAAAAGGTACTCAATAAAGGCTAATTTCCTTCCTCTTTCCTTGAGGGATGCTAAATTTAGAGCATCCTCTGGGTAGAATAACCCATAACTCCTATAGTCAAGCATCTCCCAGCTGCAGCCTCCAGGAAGGTTGCAAGGTGGCACTGCAGTAACCAGTTTGTGCAGCTCAGAACAGGATGGTACCTGAGAGGGAAATGGGTGGGTACCTTCTACCCAAACTCAAAAGATCCTGAGTCAAATGTTCTTTACCCACTGGCCTCAAGGGGCAGAATGTATGTCCAGAAATGGTTCTGCCATACTGGCTCTTCTGCAACATTCCTTCTGTTCACCAAGAGGAAGTGACATGTGGTATGTTGTCCAACAGGCTCTGATAATTCTTAAGCAAAGAGATGGAAGATGGAATTTCAGTCCAGTGGAGATCTAATAAACTTGCCCAGAGTGGCAAGACCTCTTTCACATGCTACCCTCGGTAGCTGACAATTCTCTGGTCAGGGTAGCCCTCTGAAGAGGCTGGTTGGCAGACCAGGTACCTGTCTCAGTCTGCCTTTTGTTTATAACTGGCAACAACCCACCTGGTATTAGAAACACTGGCCAAAGACAGTAGTCAGGCAAAGTGGGCAAGCAGCCTAAGTCTCTACTTTGAGATGCCTCAGAGGGTCTATCTGAAGCACTGGAATCCTGTCCCTCCTGTAATCAGATGAACAAATATTTGTCCCAAAAGAGAATCAAAGCAGGAGGAAATAGGAGAGGTCATCAGACCCACAGGAACTATTTAATCATTTATTCCCCCCCTGGGAGCTCATTTAAGGAATGGCTTTCAAGGCTGGTCAGCCTTAGCTGGAGGAGGCCCTATCTTTACCTGTCCCCCAAACCCATCCCAGTCACCTGACCTCTATTTACTCGACCCCCTTGCCTTTTCGAAGAGCTGGAAGAGAGGAAGAGTTGATAAAGTTACAAGGAAATGGGAAATGAAAGAGAGGGTGGGGTTCCAGGGCAAACTCAGGAGGTCTCTTGCTCAGTAGTAAAGTGCCTACCACACCCTAGGCCCAGCCTATGGACAATTGCATTCTTGACATTCCTGAGTCCAGGGTGCATGGCCTCTTCCACCTCAGCTCTTCAATAGATGACTTATTTTGCACAGTCTGTCGATTTTTTGCATAGTCTAAGGGGACAGAATAAGTTCTTCACCTCCCTCTCATAAGCTCTGCAGCTCCCTGAGGCAGGGAGATAAGCAAGGAGATGGAATTGAGTTCACCAAAGAGCAAAAATTGCCTACAGAAGCTCACACCACTACCTCACCCTGACTCCATGATGGGCAAGAGAATTCTTTCTCCCTGGAAAAGAAATTTGCTAGTGTCAGTTACTGTGCTCATATTATCTCCAAGATTTACAATACCCTATAAGGCAAGGAAAGCTTGCCACATTTTTTTTAGCGGAATAAACTAAGGCTCAAGAAGGTAAACCAGCATGTCCAAGGAAACACAGCTAGTTAAGTGACAGGGCTGGGACTTACACCCTCATTCAAAGTCTGTTATCAAATCTTAATGTCTCTCAAGAGCCCACAGACCAGGTTCTTGCTTTGCCAGCCAACAGTGCTCAGTGAAGAGGCCCCTGGGCCCTGGCTGGAAAGTAACCTGCAGAGCAGCTGGAGCTCCCCAACCGACCCCAGGCAGTGAGGTGCAAAGTCCCCAGGCTTAATGTGTGACACAGCAGGAGCTCCACAAACAAGCCATCCATGCAGAAAGTTGCACACTTTGGGGAAAACGAACTTAGGGAGCACAGTGCAAACACAACCTGCAAAGCCTGCACTGCCCCGAATCTGAAATTTTAGCTATCCAAGTCAGTGGGTGGGCTGTGCCCCAGTTTGAGAGGAAAGTACCACACATGCAAACTTTGAAATAAATGGAATTTGATTTGGGAGAGAGAAGCTCTGGAAAGGCCTGACACCTCCAGTGGAGAAAGAGTAAAGGGACGTATGGGTCACAAGGCCCATCATCTTCTCTAGGCATACTCATCAACCCTTTATGCAGTGAATGACTGTGTCAAGGTGAGGGGAAACACCACGCTAACTTCCTGCTCTCACAGGTTTTGGGACAAATGAGCATGTATACTATGTTTTTCTTTGCTGAGAAATTGGAACACAAGTATGAAAAGAGTGGGATCATAAGGGTGACCAGAATGAAACATGCCTGGTACTTCAAGAACCTGGTCATTTATATTTCCAAACAGTTGACCTCTTGTGATGAAATGAGGCCAGTCAGGTCTCCTCAACAATCACTCAACAGAACAGATACAGGGAAGGGCTGCGTGGGGATATCTCAAACCAAAGGCCAAAGAAAAGGACACACAAAGGGCTTGGTTCTTACCCAGCCGCCGTTCTCCTGGATCCAAGGCTCTAGGTGGTCATTCAAGTAAGTGGCCATCCAAGCTGCGATCCGACTCACCAATACCTGCATCTCCTTGTCTACGCTTTCCACGCACAGAGCCCCGCCGAAGGAGAAAAAGGCCACAATTCGACCCCAGTTTACCCCATCCCGGAAGAGTTCGTTCACTACCTGTTCAAAGCTCTGATATGCTGTCCCTGGGGTGATGTGCAGCTGAGATGTCAGGTCACTGAATGCCCGCCGGTACCGCAGTTCAAACTCGTCGCCTGCCTCCCTCAGTGCTTGCTTCACTGCTGCCATGGGGATCACCTCCCGGGCATCCAAACTGCTGCTGTGGCCAGTGGCTCCATTCACCGTGGGGCTGTCAGCCAGGTGCCAGGATGGGTTGCCATTAATGGCACTGGGGGTCTCCAGCTCTGATTCATTCCCTTCTGGGGCCTCAGTCCTGTTCTCTTCCACATCGCTAAACTGACTCCAGCTGTATCCTTTCTGGGAAAGCTTGTAGGAGATAAAGTCAACCACCAGCTCCCGGTTGCTCTGAGACATTTTTATAATAAGGATGGGCTCAACCAGTCCATTGTCCAAAACACCTGTCTCACTCACTGAGTCCGGTCTCTGCTTAGTGATTCTCTTCTAAGATCCAAAGCCAAGATAGGATTCTGAAGGGAGAGAAAGAGCTTCAGGAAAAAAAAAAAAAAATTAATATGCATGCCATTTACCCCACAATATCCCATTCCCCCTTCAGGTACCAGAACTGGTTTCTTTGTGGCTCTCCAGAGATCTATGTCTGGGTTCCAGGAGACTTCAATGAAGTCAAATTGAAAGCACCGGCGGCTCAGAAATCTCCCACCGGCCTTTTACCCTAGCCACCCCCGCTTCTCCGAAAAGCCTTCCTCGGAAAGTCACCCCCATCAGCACCCACCTACTCCACCTCCCGCACCACCTACATTCAAATCGGTTTCAGGCGACAACAGGCAGGTGCAGCCCCCGGAAGATCTTTTGTATCCTAGGTCGGGAGAGGAGGTGGCGGTCGGGATGCCGGTAACTCAGCCGGCCTCGCGGCGGCTGGCAAAAAAAGCAACTCCAGCCGGAGGGATCATGCGACCCGGCAGCCTGGGATCTCAGAAAGCGACACAGGAATTGCAAAGCTCAGGAACCAGCCCCCTCGCTTGCTTCCTCCTCCATCGCCCGGATCGAGGGCGGCCGCTCCGCAGCCGCGGCCTCCTGCCACCGGGAGCCCAGCCCCCTCGCTCTTGCACGCCCCTTGGCTCTCCGCCTCCTACTGGGAGCCAGGAGAACTCTCCTGGAGGTGGTTGGTACGGGTTTAGTTTAGTTTAGGTGGGTTTTTTTCCCCCCTATTTAAGTACCAGCCCAAGGTGAGGCTGCCAGAGCCCAAAAGGGGCTTCTCAATGGCACTCAAGGTTTCGGTGAGGGACTCAAGGAGGGGAAAGCTGCCTTGGATCGGCGATCTGACTTCGGAAAGGCCACCCCCGGGCCTTTCCGGGAGGCTGAAGGCCGGAGACCCCCGACAAACGCCGCTAGTTTTCTTTGAATTCCCCAAAGGCCCTGGACGTGGCGGTGGGGGATTGCCGGGTCCTCCATTCCCCGCCCGGACACAATGGCCGCCAGCGCCCTGCACAAAGACCGGGTGAGGGTGAGGCGTTGGGCCTCTCCTCGGGTCAGGAAGAGGAGTCGAGGCCTGCTCGAAGCTCCCTACAGCTGAGACCACGTTTTCCTAGGGACAGGCCTAAGGTGGCTTCCTGGAGCCCCCGCGAGAGCTCGGGGGCCAGGGGCTGCACTTCTCCAAGCCCAGGGTGGGCGGGATGCGGCCTCGCGGCTTCTCCGGCTGGCTAGGCCGGGTACCCGCGGAGCCACCGCCCCGTTGCTAGGCAACCACTCTCCCTTCGGGGCTCCCCCTAGACCTTTCTGAGAGGAGGGGTCTCGCCCCCGGCAGCCTGTCCCAATGTAGCCAATCAGTGAGCCCAGTCGGCACGGAAGCGGGACGGCGAACGCTCTCATTGGGCAGAGAGGCTGTCACACACTGGGGAGGCGGTGCTCTCACCTGCGAGCCCCGCGAGCCATGGGGGGCCACATCCCCCTTCTTCGGCTAGGTGGTTTCCAGACGCGAGGGCTCTTCGCGGCCGTGTTCTGCGCCGCGCACCAGGGCCGGCCTACCTGGCTAACTGCCCACGCCTTCTCTCTTGAACAAGCCGGCCTCAGTTTCCCCTGAAGAGACCGGGGGAACTTGCAAGCTCAGTCACTTCCGGTGCTGCGGCAACGCGCGCGAGCCCGAGACGCAAGGGGGTGCGCGCCTTGAGTGGCTGACATCAAGGCCCAGAGAAGGAGCGCCCCCTTGCGGTAGATCTGGGGAATCCGGAGACGCAAAGAATCAAGGTTTATCTTCACATTTCCATTCATTCCTTAATTCAATCTATTTCATCCATTCGTCAGTTAATATATAGAAAAAGCGTCGAAGTGTGGCTAAGTTATGCGTTCCTGGATTATAACTCTACCAATTGGTCAGATTTATCAGCTCTGTGCCTCAGTTTTCTTAACAGAATGGGCTAATAGCACCAATCTCTTACTGAGTTACTGTAAGGATTTAATGTTATTTGTAAAGTCCATAGGACAGTATATGTGTCATAGTATGTGTTCCCTGAAGTCATTCAACAAATATTTATTATTTAGTTGCTAAAGATAGGGTTAGGAACAAGATGACAATGGGCCGTGGGCGGTGGCTCACCCTTGGAATCCTAGCACTCTGGGAGACCAAGTATGGAGAATTGCTTGAATTCAGGAGTTGGCCATCAGCCTGAACAAGAGTGAGATACGGTCTCTACAAAAATAGAAAGAAAAGAAACAAAAAGAAAAAAACAGGGTGCAGTGGCAATAGCCTGTAGTCCCAGCTATTCCGAAGGCTGAGGCAGGAGGATTGCTTGAGCCTAAGAATTTGAGTTTGCTGTGAGTGAGGATGATACCGCTGCATTCTAGCCTGGGCAACAGAGGAAGACTCTCAGAAAAAAAAAAAAAAAAAGGCTGAGTGTGATGGCTCACACCTGTAATCCTAGTATTGTGAGAGGTGGAGGCAAGTGGATGGCTTGAGCTCAGGAGTTCCAGACCAGCCTGTGCAAGAGACCTGTCTCTACTAAAAATAGAAAAATTAGCTGGGTCCTGGTGGCACATGCCTATAGTCCCAGGTACTTGGGAGGCTGAGCAAGAGGATCCCTTGAGCTCAAGAGTTTGAGGTTGCTGTGAACTACATATAATCCCATTGCACTCTTACCCAGGACAACAGAGTGACACTCTGTGTAAAGAAAAAAATAAGCTATCTTAAAAACTTAAGTTTTAGATGATGGGGAAATGCTTAGAGTGTAATGTTAAGTGAAAATAAAAGTATACAAATTAGAGGTGTGACATAATCTAAACACTAAATACAATGCATAGGGGAAAGGCTGGGAAATCAATATGATAATGACATAAGAAAAGTGGGGAAAACCATTGCATAGATGCTTAAGAGGAATGGAAACAGCATGGCAAATAAACCTCTCAAATTATAATTTAACAGGAAATGCAAATTAAAACTTCAGAGAGGTACCATTTAGTGCCCATCAGACTGGCAAAAATGAGAAAATCTGATAAAAACAAGTGTGGTTCAAGGACGTGGAATAACTGAAAAAAGTTTATTGTTAGATAGCTGAGCATTCTGGTCGGTGCCTGTAGTCCCAGCTTTTGGGAGGCTGAGGCAAGAGAATCGCCTGAGCCCAAGAGCTGGAAGTTGCTATGAACTGTGACGCCACAGCACTCTACCGTGGGTGACAAAGTGAGACAGAATGAGACTGAGGAAAAAAAAGTTTATCGTTACCTTGTAGAGTTGAAGATACCTATGATCTATGACCCAGCAATTCCATTCTTTCATATACACCCTCAAATAACTTTTTTTTCCAAATCATGCAATGATTTATGATACCTAAAATAACTCTTGCACACGTAAAAAATGTAGGTATAAGAATGTTTATAGCAGCACCACTTATAATGGCAAAACTTTGGAAATTACCCAAGTGTCCATGATAGCAAAATGGTTCACAAATAATAGTATGTGTTGGCTTGGTGCCTATGCTTAGTGGTTAGGGCGCCAGCTACATAAACTTGAGCTGTTGGGTTCAAACCCGGCCTGGACCTGCTAAACAATGACAACTACAACAAAAAAATAGCTGGACATTGTGGAGGGTGCCTATAGTCTCAGCTACTTGGGAGGCTAAGGCAAGAGAATTGCTTGAGCCCAAGAGTTAGAGGTTGCTGTGACCTGTGATGCCATGACACTCTACCCAGGGTGACAGCTTGAGACTCTACCTCTAAAAAAAAAATAGTGTGCGTATACATTGGAATATGATAGAATGAGAAAATAAGTGGATTTAGCTACATATAACATGAAAGAATCTCAGAAACATATTGAATGAAAAAAGCTGTGTAAATAAGCTGGGTGTGGTGGTTCATGTCTCTAATACTAACACTCTGGAGGATTGCCTGAGCTCAGGAATTTGAGCCCAGCCTGACCAAAGTGAGACCCTGTTTCTACTAAAAATAGAAAAACTAGCCAGCCGTGGTGGCGCTGGCCTGTAGTACCAGCTACTTGGGAGGCTGAGGCAAGAGGAACACCTGAACCCAGGAATTTGAGGTTGCTGTGAGGAGCTATGATGCCACAGCACTCTAGCCTGGGGAACAGAGTAAGACTCTATCTCAAAAAAAAAAGAAAAACTTGTGAAAGCAAAAGAATAATTCAGCATGATCTTATGTATATGTAGTTTAAAAACAGAAAAAAAGGAATCAATATATTATTTAGGTTTGTAGTAATTAGCCTACTCCAAGATGGCACCCAAATATTTCTGCCTCTTGATATTCATACCCTTGTGCAGATCCCCCACCCCCATATACTGTACCAGAGTTGTTATATATGACTAGTAGCAAATAGCAGAGATGATGGTGTCATCACTTTGAACTTGATTACAAACGATATGGATTCTGTCTTTGTGTTCTCATGTTTTTCACTCTCTCTCTCACCCTAGCTTACTCTGGGGAAGCCAGCTGCCATGTTGGGAGTCACCCTATGGAGAGGCCCATGTGTGATGAGGAAAGGAAACCTCCTGCCAACAGTCATGTGAAGGTCTTCCAGCCACAGTCCAGCCTTCAGGTGACCATAACCTTATTCAAGACCTTGAGCCAGAACCACTGCATTAAGCTGCATTCCTGACCATCAGAATCTGTAGGAGATAATAAGTGTAATTTTAAGCTGCTAAGTTTGGGGATAATTTGTTACGCATTAATAGGTAACTAATAAAAGGGATTATACACCTCTGTTGTGAGGGAAAATAAACACGTAATTCATGATAGCCATTGGATTTTTTTTTTTTTTTTTTTTTTGAGATGGAGCCTCAAGCTATTCCCCTGGGTAGAGTGCCATGGCATCACACTCACAGCAACCTCCAACTCCTGGG